CAAACCATGGGCCTGATGGAAGTAAGGCTAACCAGGCATGCAGAAGGGTGGATAATCCTTTCAGGGACACCCAGGGGCTCAGTCACCATGCCCTGGTTACTCCTTTCCTCCTCAGATCCGTCTCAACCATCAGATAACCACGGCTGAGCCTGGCTCACACCAAAGGCTCCCATCACATGATTGTCCATCTTAACAAACTGCTGCCTATGTCCCTACCAGTTGTATCTTGGCTGCCTGTCTCCTGGACTTCCTGCCAACAAAACAGGTGAGTCACAGCAGCAGCGTGGGATGTTGGGAGAGATGAACTCAGACTTAGGTAAGAAAAGCCAGAACTCCTCATGCAGACAGAGCAGGTCAGTATTATTGCTTATATTCAGGGGTGCTCTGCCCTGTGTACAGACAACCTGTGAGCTTTGCATGCAGCAATCAGAACTAGAGAGAGAATAACAACAAACCTGTTTCTGTCGGCAAACATAGTTCACATGAAATTAGGGGGATAGATGAGCATGGCTGTGTCTAAAGGCAGAGCAGGAATAAGTCTGGAAACCCTTGTGAATAAAGGAACAAAGCTGTTATCACATCAGTCCAGTGAAGCATTTGCATGTGTCTTTAATACTGACAATTCCCTGCTGTCACCTGCCAAGAATGAAACAAACATCACACTAGGAGTGTCCAAGTCTTTAGAAAATACTAAGCCAAAGACACCCAGCTGTGACAAACTCTCATATGGCAGAAACAGCTGTGGCTGATTCAGGGGCTAAAGCTTCACAGTGCTGGTAGCCTTCAGGTTGTCTTGGATTGGCTGTGGAGTGAAATTGCTGGTTGTGAGATGAAGTTGCCTTTCTGTCTCCCAGGACCTCATTTAAGGAGAAAAAATGTGTGTCTGGCTGAGACACAAAGGTGAACCCGAAGTCCATTACCTCCAACAGCAATGTGATGAACATAAAACTCAGATGGGAATAGGAGAGACTCCAAATCTCACTCATTCCCTTAATTTTAGTGGGTTTTTTTTTCAAGGAACAAAAAGTCAATGCCTCTCAGCCATTTGGAAATACTCCAATTACTTTCCAAATGTCTGCAGACCATCCGTTCAATTCGGAAGCATTTTGAAGCATAGCTAACTCAGCTAAATCCTCTCTGCATCTTTCCCTTCTCACCTTCCAAGCAAGGTGAGACCCAACCAAGATTAACAGCAGCAGCACCGAGGAGTTCAGTGCATCTCACAGGGGTATGGCAGGGGGAGGTCCCTGTTAGTTTCATTCCCAAGGAATGGAAGGTTTGGGATATTCAAGTGATAATACAAGTCATGGCCTTTTCAGTCCCTCTCTACATCCAAGATGTGCTGAGCAAAGTCAGAAAAATGGATGATTTCTATATGTATACAAAGAAGGTTCTGGAAATGCATCCCCCTCTTAACAAGGATGTAAAGAAACCAATCCTAGTGTCATCTGCACCAGTTTTAGATTGGGGTCCCCTTTTAATTCCACCACGGCTACGCCAAGGTGGGATCTGTGCAAGGGAAAGGAAACCCCAACCTGAAGTCATGCAAGGCCACTGGGCAATCCCAGAGAGACTGCTGAATCTCAAGTAGTTTATTCTTTCCAACATCCCATTCCTTAGCAGAGAGCCACGCAGGGAACACAGTGCTTGGAAATGACAAGATAACATTTCTGCTGAGACTGAGGTCTCAACAAACCCCTGAATGTCAATGCCCTTGAATATGGGGGAAGAAATTCCACCGCAGGATCTGCACTGCACAGCTCAGACTCTGCCCCTGTTTCTGTTCCCAGGAATAGGCATTTTTCTATCTCCATCCTTGTTCTTAAGTTTCCTGCACGGTTAAGGCAGTTGTGGGATGGAAGTGAAGTGCTGACAGGAGAAGGCCCATACTGCAATTTGGGAAGCAGGAGGATGTCTGACACTCTACATTTCTTATTCTATAATAGAAATTGGGTCGCAGGCAAAACCAGCTTGTGGTTTTGAAATCAGAAAAACCCAAATGCCTGCTGGGATGGATGAAGGTTTTGGTCTGTGCATTTTCTTTAAACTAAAGCTCTGTTCTTAAATCTGCACCAAAGCACTGACAGTAAAGCCCTTCATGGTGCAGACATGGGACACAACCTTGAAAATAAAAAGAGTGGGATGGGGAGGAAGCTTTTCACAAGTCAAATTATCAAAAGAAAGAAAATAACAATCATGCAGGAATTTCAAGTTACAGCTTAAAAATAACCTAAGTAACCCCATTCAAATGTGTCTCCCATACATATGAAGAGAGGAGATCAAATGAAAAAAAGTAAACAATAATAAAAATGAAAATGTTACGTGCCCTGGAATCCTGTTTCTATAACTCCAGTCAAGGGAGACTTTTGACTGTACCAACAAACACCAGGAGCTTGTTTTGCATCATGTCAGCATGCTATTCTCCTTCACCTTGGACTATCAGAGGGGAAAATAATGAAACTGTGAAAGGGGTTATAGAATTTCAAGCAATCAGGCTTTTAGAAAGGTTCTATTCTGTGACATTTGTGTTCAAGTCTGAATGTGTGTGTATGGTATAAAATTATGAGCTAACATTTGAAAAGACAGCAGTCTAAGTAATAAATTTGCAGAATGAAGAGAACTGTACAGAACGATTTCAAAGGCTCATACTTGACAATTATATATATTTTATGAGACAGTTATGCACCCTGTGCCTTTTTTAAATTCATTGTTTTATGGATGCAGTATCTCTATTTTAGCAGACAGGATATACTAAACCAATCTAATGGTCTAAAAAGCATCATTTACCACCCAACGTAACAATGGCACTGCATAGCTTAATAATGTTTTTTTTCCTTAAACTCCTTCATCAATCAAGTGATTCTTAACATGGCTGAAACCCAAGAATCGAATATCTGCAGTTACAATGTTTGTTAAGTATTTGGCACAGTGGAGTTTTTTTGATATACCCTTGTTTTTTCTGCCCTTATTGTTGCTGAACATATAATGCTGTGCATAAATTACAAACACACATGTAAAGTCAGTCAAGTGGAAGCAGTTTGATACCCCACACCCATGTTGCAATGCCCAGACAAGAGCAAAGTCTGCTTAAAAGGTGTTGAACATGAGTGGCAAGTTATCAACCCTCTGCAATTGTGCCAGCTCTGGGGTGTCCACTGCCAGCAATGGACAAGGACGTGGGGAAGATCAGCCCCTCCACCACGGAAGTGATGTCCAGCATTTGGTTCAACATACCAGGTAACTTCTCTAAACATCTGCAAGTTCACAACAGCTTCAAATTCAAACAAAAAAAAAGGAGCTTTTTATTTTGATGCTAACCCTTAAAACCCTTCTGACATTTAGTCCATTGGAAATGGGTCTGGTTCCTGGGGAAAAAATCATCAAACATCACCAATTTGTATTGCTTCCCCGCAGGAATCTTTTGGAAAAGAAAAATATGCATGCAAAATAAACCTGACCCCCACACTTGTAATGGGATGAAAGCTTCCCCATGAGTTTTGCAGGCTTAGATAAGACTGCACTGCAAGAGCCAAGCCAAATCTGCTCCTGCATGAATGCATCTCAGGAAGCTGAGTGAAAGTTCGAGTTGCTCATTGCTGGCCACTCTCTGCTCCCATAGCCCAGCCTTCCAGGGAAAACGTGGTGTCCAGGAGGGGAGGTTATTCCACCTTCCTCTCACAGCTTCCACTGAAGTCAGAGGAATTTCTCAGGTGAAAAAAAACCCCAAACCAATTGTAAGGGTTGAAGGATTAAGGTCAGTATTCCTTTCATCTTGTACACACACACACGCACACACACTTACTTTAAAGAAAACATCCACCACACAATTTCTAGATTGCAAATTATATATATATATATCTTTAAAAACTGGAGAGAACATAAACAGCCTCTCCATATATATATATGTATTCACTGAGTCACATAGAATATGAAAAAAACTATATTATGTAAATCATCATATTATCTATAATTCTCCAACTGACAATTGTTCTTATAGAGACACAGTGCATTTGTTCTCTGTTTTAAAAACATATTATGTGTCTTCATTGGCTTGGTAGCATATTAGAATGAAGGCGTATGGATAAAAAACGCAGAGGATTAAACAAACCCCTTGAGTCACATTACGTTTGGGTGAATTAAACAGGATCCTTCCCCAAACTAGCATAAATAAATCCTCCCTATGGAAAAGTGTCAGCGATTTAAGGGTTAACATAGAGTTGAAAATAATTTTTAAAAAAGATCTTATTAGAGGACTACACAGATAAGTATTTGGAACTCATCCCCCTTTAAAAATGACAGCACGTTTGGCAAGTGTGAGCAAATGTCTTGAACTCTACTGGGTTTGAGATCTGAGCGCAGCTATTCACAGACAGCCACAAAGCTGCAATCTGTGAATAAGCCTGGGCTGGAAGGACTTGGATACTCCTGACAGCATTACTCGCCACTGGGAAGGTTTCCAGCAGCTTTCAAGGTATTTATTGTGGACTCGTGGCTGGTGACAGAGTGTGACTGGTGGAACGACTCCAGCACTGCTCCCTCTTTGCTATCGCAGAGCGCAGTGCGTTTGAGCAGCCCCAGACTGGCCAACCCTTCAGCCCAGGCTGTGGGGCCCCACTCGTCCCCAGGACCCTGTTTGCAACTGCAAACACCTATTGCTGTTATCACCTTGCTTTCTCTATGCCTCATGCCCAAGCCTGTCTGTGTGCTGAGCTCTTCGATGGACCTCTGCAGATTCCCTCCTTGGAAGCTCGTGCTGTCACCAAAGGGGCTGAACCCAGCCACGAGGGCTCCCTGCCTCCTCCATCACCCCACAGGATGTCACAAGTGATGCCATTAGAAGATGTTGTTCTCAAGAATCCTGGCTGGGTTTGACTTTGAAAATAAGTTTCCTGTGTTGCTGTTGTTGTTTTGCAGTCGTGTTTCTTCACTCGTGCTCTCTCCTTGTTTTTTTATTAAAAAGGACCCTTGTATTATGAATATAGTTCACCCCTCCACAGTCACTATAAAACAGACTCCATATTTTCACACCACTCATGATCTTCAAGGTTATAGATAAATTTTGTCCTATGTGGTTGATTTTGGGGCACAGAGTCCCGCCCCAGATTGTCTAGGGTGAGAGTAGAGGCAAAAAACTCACTAGTGCTGAGACCACCTTCGTGGTTCTTGATGTATCTTTTATAGTTTTTCCTCAAGCACTGCCAGGTGGTTGTGTACAAGATGAATGCAAAAGACTTCAGGGCTATAGCAATACTAACATACAGGTATCTATAGACCACGTTGTCGTACAGTGCACAGGCTCCTTGCTCGCCACAGAACGTGCTCCAAAACAGACATGTGGAGTCAATTCCAGCCCCAAAGATCAGCGGAGGTGGGATAAAACCTGTCAAAATAAGAGAGACAAATCATGCTTTTATGATCCTTATGATAAAGAGAGAGGACGTGACTGCAGTGAATGGAAAGAGGGTACTTTATCAAGGTTAATGGTCCCAGCTGCAGCCTGTGATTCTAATTCTGAAAGTTCTAAATCAACCTAAACGAAGTCTGTGGATGAGTTTTTTAGCTTGGACTCAACATCTACAGAAGAGAT